CGTGGGGCCCGCCGCTGGGTTCTGGGGTCTTCCGGGGAGAGAAAAGGGGTTGGGGAGGGACGTGCCTTAGGGTTCCTTCTCCACCTGTGGGGAATCTGCTGTCGCGTCAGGCTTTTCTCCCTGCTCTGAAGACCTCGCTGCCACGGACCTTTAAAGACCTCCTTTTGCTTCAGGGCTTCTCAGCCTCGACCCCTCGGAGGTGGAGAGACGGACGGCCCCTTCTTCGCCTCCGGCTTCCCTGTGGGTCTCCCGGCCTTTTCTTTTAAGACCCTCCGAACTTGAGTTTGTTGGTGACCCCGATGAGGCGTCTCGTGGGATGCTTTCGACAGACGCCTCGTTTTTCCGTCTCCTTGGGAGCTTGCGTGACCTGGATGTCAGAATTTGCTTCGGGAAAAGATGAGTCTGGAAGTTAAGGTTAGGTCCCTATGGCGAGGGACTTTGTGTACTGACTTCAAGCAGATTGCGGACCTTGTTAGGGCGTTTGAGCCGAGAAGCGACAAAATGAAAGGGGTGATATTGATGTATTAACTTGGCAGGTGTGTTCTTCAGGCACCCGTGTGTCTGGCTGGCGTTAACGAGGTGTCTGCTAGGCCTTAGCTGCAATTGTTTGTGCTCCTTCCTCACTAGATTGTGGTTTGTTCAGAGGCTGACACAGTTCCTCGATTGCCCTTCTCATTTTCCTCCTCCCCCAGCGTTTCACTCAGAAATATTTAATTGAGCGCTTTTTAACAAATAGCGGCTTCAGTGATCTAGGTCACCAGTATAGAGAGCGTTTCCAAGAGGAAGGAACAAATAAAATACATTAAGTACAGTGGAGACGCTGAGATGTGTAGAGCGGTGTACAGCTGTGTCTGTGTAGTGCTGTATCTAAGAGCATTGGTTTCAAAACGAACTCTACCTCCTGGCCCTGCTGTTGACCAGTTGTTTTACTAGGGAGCATTAACCACTGAGCCCGTTTTAATATGTAAGAAAGAGATAATTCTCTCCTCAGAATTGCTCTTTCTTTCATTTAGCAGATACATATGCAAATCCACACATATTGTACCAACTGTGTGTCAGCATAATTCTAGGCACTGGTGATACAATAATAAATAAGACAGATATCAGAGCCTTCTTCTCGTGGTCTTATGTTCTAGTGATGGTAGCCATATAGTGGCAAGGACTATGAAGAAGGTAAAACTGGATGTTAATATACCTTGATCATCTCAAGGCAGATAGTGGTGGCGGGGCTGGGGTGGGATAAGGTTCTTGCCAGAAGCACACTGAGTTCTGGGGTACTGTCCTCACTCCTGTCAATGGAAGAAAGGAGTCCAGAGAGAAAGGGTCTTATCTGAACATCTAGGGGTGGCTGCATGCAGGTCTCTGTCCTAAGTCCTACTCTTGGAGAAAGCTGAAGGCCTAACCAGTTTTGTTAGGGAAATCAAGAGTTATGTTTTTTAACCATGCAGAGTTTAAAATGTCTGATAGACATCCAAACAGATATCAGACAAGTAATTGGATATATGAATTTGGAGTTCACTATCCCATTTAGGGCTTGTAATACTAAAAAATATTCGTTCTCATAGTATCTGTCTGTCTCTCGCTCACTCTCTCGCTCTCTTGTACACACACCTTAAAGCTGTGGCCTAGGGATAGAGAGTAAATACATGGAACTAACTGATGTCTGGTGGTTAAACATTAGATTGTTAAGTGGTTGTTAGGATTAAACATAATTAAATGAGATCATGTACACAGTGAGCTTGGCACATAGCAAGTGCTGAACAAGTGGAAGCTATTATCATTATTTCTGTGTGTCTATTGCTTTTGGCTGTTAACACATCCTATCTATAACTCCAGGGTAAAATCTTAATCAGTATTTAAAAGAGGGGAATTTTGACTAGAGCTCTTCATGTACTTGAGAAATACATAATTTACATTTTTTGACATGTAGTTTTCTGCTGATACGAGTGCTCTGTATACATAGACAATGTAGTAGGGGTCATTTGGACAATAAATGTCAGAATAGGGCCAGAATCCGAGTTTTTGACTCTTGGCTACACTGTTCTTTACACCACACCACCTAAATTTCTAATGATAAAGGAAAGGATCTTTAGATTACCTGTGATGTGCATAAAGTTTTCAAAACGTAACTTGGAAAATGCAGGTAAGGAAAAGTGTTTCTACATACTTTTGCCACATCTTTTTCTCCATGCCACTATCAAAGACTTTTACTAAGTAATTTTTCATTCTGTACTGAGCAAGTCATGTAATAAAAGGTGACCAACTTAAATTTTATTTTTCCACAGTTTCTACAGCAGTATAATCACTATAAATCCAATGTGGAGATTTTCAGATTACAACCAAATAAACCTAGCAAAGAATTGGCAGAGCTGGTGATGTTTATGGCTCAGGTAAGAAGTTAATTTTTATATAAAACAAAAACCAGTTATTACAGTTTGCAGAATATTTTTCCAGTAATACCCAACCTCATTCCATTTGGGAATGAATGCTTCATTTAAAAAAAGATATATTTATTTTTTTAATTTTCCCATTTTTGCAAATTTTATTTTCTCTGTGGTAAGTTAGAAGATTTTGCTAGCGCTTTCACAGAACCATCCAGAGCAAAACTTTCAAACTATTTTGTTTTCTTCAAATTCATTATAAAATTAGATTCTCAGTTATGTCACACATATTTTAATAAGACAGAGAGGAAATGTGAAAGGGGTTAGAGAAATTGGCATGTAGAAGAAAAAGACATGATTTGGAACCACCTACCTCTATGAAATAGCCTTTACTCTCCTTTTGCAGAATAATTGAAATATGTGCCTGTGAATTACAGGAGAAAAAGAGAGACTTGAGAAGAGTGTTTGTTTTGTTACAGATTGGTCACTGCTACCCAGAACATTTAAGTAACTTTCCTCAAGAGTTGAAAGATCTCCTCTCCTACAATCACACTGTCTTGGATCCAGATCTTCGAATGGTAGGGCCAATATATGGGTTGATAATTTGTGCTGTGTTCATGTGTATGCGTGTAATATGTGTTTAAGTGAAAATGGCTTCTCAGCTAAACATCTTTTTAAATTGTAAAATAGAATTTGTCACCCCTTCCTTAAAATCCTTCTAGGACTTCTTATTTATACTTAGAATAAAACTCAAACACATTATTCTGGCCTATAAGTTTCTACATGATCTGTTTCCTCCCTGTATTTATTTTTTATCTCATCCTCTTTTCTGCTATGCTCCTCTTTTTGATCTTTCTGTTCTTCCAGCTTGCTAACCTTCCCAGGATATTCTTTTCCCTCTTTTGAATAGGTGATTCATTCTAGTCATTCTAATCTCATATGCATGAAGAACTTTAATTACAACTTGTGGTTTGTATAATGCTTAATTTAATAAATTTATCTATTAAATAGCCAGTTTGAACATTAAAATATTGTCATTTTAGTGGTTGATATAGGTTCCTGGCCGAGATCCCCTTTACCAAGCCAGTGTACCCATTTCCCCTACCTAATGGCCCCCAGCTGCCCTTTTTCTGAAGCATTGTTCTCAGCTAAATAGGAGACCTAGCATCTGGGAGGTTGCCCTTGCAGCTCACAGCTGGTACCTGATCAACCCAGTGATATGAAAGCCCAGCCCCTTCCCTCAAGGTGGGTCCCACTTTGTGTTGCAGTTTGTTCTCCAGGGCTTCTTGTGATCAGGTTAAAGCTAATCTCCAACCAGGGATACTTCCTTGATCAGCTTTTCTTTTCTCTGCCCATTTTGCTGCTTCACTTCCCTTATAGAAACAAGAACACCCCAGACAAACCACTGTAATGAATTGGGCTCTGCTTCTAGGGAACCCAACCTTAGGCATTTTTAAATTTTATGCATCAGCTTTTCAAACACCTTTACAGCAGGTAGAACTTACATAAATGTTATGATCACAAAACATACTGATATCCTGTACAAAAACTTATAAAAATGCTAAGTCCAGCCCAGCTGGCATGGCTCAGTGGTTGAGCGTCACCTATGAATCAGGAGGTTTCAGTTCCATTCCCGGTCAGGACACATGCCCAGGTTATAGGCTGCGTCCCTGGTAGGGGGGCATGCATGAGGCAGCCAATCAGTGATTCTTGCTCATCACTGATGTTTCTATTTTTCTTTCCCTCTCCCTTCCTCTCTATGAAATCAACAAAAACATATTTTTAAAAAATGCTAAGTACATATATTTAACTTTTTTAAATTTCTCTAAGATTTTATTAATTTGATTAGGCCCAAAAGAAAAAGAATACCATCTCACACAAACCAAGGTTACAGGCTTAGGGTTGTCAACTGATTAACTTTCAGGGGTCGTAGCACCTGACAGCACAGCCCAAGAGGCTTCAAACTCCAGCCATTACTCAGGAGACTTTTACTTATGTCATGGAACTTTTCAATTTCCTCTAGGTTGTACAGATTTGAGATTTTGAGTATGAAGACTTAGTGTCTTACCAAGTAATTAGGTTTTCTTTAAGTTTTGTGTGGCTAACAATACCAAACCAAACTGGTCTGCAGGCATTATTAAATAAATAAATGTGTGTGTGGGTGTTTCTTTGTAGTATTTTATGATAATTTGTAGATTTTATTTTTATTTTTTATTTTTTATTTTTTTTAATATATCTTTATTGATTTCAGAGAGAGGAAAGGAGAGGGAGAGAGAGAGACAGAAACATCAACGATGAGAGAGTCATTGATCGAGCCCACAACCCGGGCATGTGCCCTGACTGAGAATCGAACCCCGATCGCCTGGATCCCAGGTTGACGCTCAACCGCTGAGCCATGCCCGGCTGGGCGATAATTTGTAGATTTTAAAAACAATAATTAGTAGAAATTTTCTTTGCTAGGAAACGAGATTGAATCTATGTAATTAGCATTTCTTTTTAGAGGAATCATTTAGAACATACTGGTGGATTCTCTTTTTAATTAGCTATTGTGATGACCACCAGTCCTGTCAACCTCTAGACTTTCCTTCTACCTAATGTATTTGCTATTTTTCCAGGACTTTTTAAGTCATTCTCAAGTTTTTCTTTTCACTCTTTCTTGCTTACACAGACAGAAGCAGACTGTCTTTCTTAGTGGAAGAAACAAAATACCTATATATATATTACTTAATAAAAATTAATAAAACGAATTTTTATATTACTCTATCTTTGACAATGTAACTACCTTTTTATATACTTTTATTAATTTATTTTTAAAGCATTATTTTTACTATTTTACATTCAAACTGTCACCACCTGGCAGTGGGAGCTGCTGCTTTCATCAGTGCCCCTGATGTTTTTGAAAGTATCCTTGCATTCTGGCCAAAATAGTTTCAAACCCTTTCTTATGGTTTTTCCTGCCCCAAAACTTGGAATCAACTATTCTCCAAGGATTATTTGTTCAATCTAATGGAGAAGAGAATTAGAGGAAAAATTTGGGTGATAAGGGTACTCACAAAAGTTGGTGGTAAACAAGAGTGCTACAACTGCTGTTGGGCCATTCTTAGTACTAACAGTACTTCAAAAAAAGTGCCTTGTAAGGTCACAAATTCAAATTCATTATTCCAGTTCAGTGTATTATGTTATTATTATCCCATCTTTCTTTGTAGATTCATTGATCACTGGAGTTTTGTTATATGTTGACCTCATTGTGTAAAGTAGCCACAGTATATCAATTATATTACCTTGTTTTACTTCCTTTGTGACATTTATTATCTGAGATACTCCTCTTTATGTGCTTACTTGCTTGTCTGTCCTCTCTTCTGCTGCACCCCCAGTGTGTAAGGTCCACGAAGGCAGAGACTATCTGTTTTGATGCCTAGAATAATGTCTGGTTAGTCGGAGACGCTAGTCTTTTGGGATATACATGCTCTGTTTCCTTAACTTTATCATAATCTTATACTATGTTTTCTTTTCCTTCCTGAGACATTTTGCAAAGCTTTGATCTTGCTGAGAAATAAGAATCTCATCAGTCCATCAAGTTTGCTAGAACTTTTCTTTGAACTTCTGCGTTGCCATGATAAGCTTCTGCGAAAGGTAAAGAGCAAAATTGCTTTTCCCCCCCATATATCTCATTTTTCCTTGCAGTAACATAAAACTTATAGAGTGAATTCTTGATGCTTCACATTATTGGATAAAGTTAAGAATAATTTTAGTAGGGCTATATGGCATCTCCATGTTTAACTTTTTCAGGGCAGTTTTCCCTTTGTAGTTTAACTGCTGCTTTTTGTTTTGCTTTTGGTCTCTTTTGTGATAAAATGAAAAATAGATAATATTAAATCCTCCTGTACATTTGCACTTTTCTCCAAATTAAGCAGAGTTTGAAATGTTGGTTAATGTGTGTATGTTTTTGTTTCTTTCACTCAGACTTTATACACGCATATCGTGACTGATATCAAAAATATAAATGCAAAACACAAGAACAATAAAGTGAATGTAGTAAGTACCCGTTTGTTTCCCATGTTTCAGCATTGTGTACCATCAGTGTATTAAGGGTTCTTTCTCTTTTTCTTCAGGTGTTGCAGAATTTCATGTACACCATGCTGAGAGACAGCAATGCAACTGCAGCCAAGATATCCTTGGATGTGATGATTGAACTCTACAGAAGAAACATCTGGTAATATATATATGTTTGTCTCTTGAGAAATAGAATCTTTTGTTCTTTTGGTCATTTGTAATTACTAGAGAGCACATACACAAATATTTTTCTTGATCTTGAGCTCTTTAATATACCTCTGTTATAGATTAAGTTGGAAGTAAAAATGCAGAGGCAGTGCATGTAGCTAACAACAATACTGGCTGCCATTTGTTGAGCACATAGTACCTTGTTCACCTTTCAGAACAAAGTAATGGAGCTTGTCTGGAATTATTCTCATTTGATAGGTAATGAAAGTGAAGTTCATAGAGTTTAAGTTTAGTAGCTAATAAAGGGCAGAACTAAAACTCAAATCCAGATCTGTCTGACTCTGAAATCTATGCTCTTTCTACTTTACCACTCTGATGATTTTCAAATTTACCCTATTTTTGTAAAATGTCATGGTGCCCAGCCGGGCGTGGCTTAGTGGTTGAGCATCAACCTAGGATCCAGGCGATCGGGGTTCGATTCCCGGTCAGGGCACATGCCCAGGTTGCAGGCTCGATCCCCAGTCGGGGGCCTGCAGGAGGCAGTCGACCAATGACTCTCTCATCATTGATGATTCTCCCCCTCTTCCTTCCTCTCTCTGAAATCAATAAAGATATGAAAAAAATGTCATGTTTTATGAACATTGGTTTGTTGTTATAGTGCTTCCAACTCATGTCTTTTGCTTTTCTTGTTTATTTTTTTTACTATAAAAGTAGTAATATTCATTGCAACAGAAAATTTGGAGGAGCTAGAAAAGTTTTAAAAAATATTATTGGTAGTCCCATCACCCAGAGACAATCACTGTTAATAGCTTATGATAATTCCTCTTTTCTTTAGCGTGAATTTCTGCTGTTAGAATTTTGCTGTATTAATAGTTTTTTATCCTGTTTTTTGTTTTACTTCTCTTCAGTAGGTTCCTATGTCATTAAAATTCTTCATAAGTGCATCTTCTTTTTTTCTCTCTTAGAGAGGAAATGGGGGAGAAAGAGAAACATCAATTTGTTGTTCTACTTTTTATGCTTTCATTGGTTGATTCTTTTATGTGCCCTGACTAGGGATTGAGCCCCTCCCCCTTGGTGTACTGGGACATCAGCTCTAACCAGCTGAGCTATGCGACCAGGGCTATAAGTTCATCTTAATGGCTGCGTAATTTTCTGAAGTAAGACTGAGCTAAAATTTAATTACATAGTCAAACTGTGTGGTTGACTATTTAGCAGCCCATGGCCTTTTTTTAATCCTTACCCAAGGATATTTTTTCCATTGCTTTTCAGAGACAGTACAGAGAGAGAGAGAGAGAGAAACAGAGAGAGAGAGAAACAGAGAGAAACCTTGATGTGTGAGAGACACATTGATTGGTTGCCTCCTGCACGTGCCCTGACGGGGCCAGGGATGGAGCCTGCAACCAAGATACAGGCCCTTGGTGGGAATCAGACCCAGGATCCTACAGTCCATGGGTTGATGCTCTAACTACTGAGCAAAACTGGCCAGGGCTCAACTCATGACTTCTTAAAATATTACAGCTATGAATTCTAACATTTCAGAAATATTTGTTGTTTATTTTGTGCCATTGTCTATGCTGTCAAATACAGTAGGATGAAAATTTACTTTAAAACACTCATTTGTCACCCCTCCAGGAACGATGCCAAAACTGTCAATGTGATCACAACTGCGTGTTTCTCTAAGGTCACCAAGGTGAGTACCTGTACTGCTGTGAGGACAGAGGATGCAGGAGCTGGTGTGTGAGGAAGAGGGAGTGTGCATATATGCAGTTGGTGTTACGAATGCTCTCTGTGTTTAGGCCACTTCCCTGGCTCATCAACCTGTGCTTTAGAGGAGTCAAACAAAATTATGAGGGGTTTTTTTTTCCTTTTTATTGAATTTATTCTGGTGACACTGGTTAACAAAATTATACGAGTTCCAGGTGCACAATTTTACATGTCATGAGTTATTAAAAATGCTGTGTATTAAACAATAGCCTCAGTGTTTTTGTTTTTCCTATAATTCTTGACTATTTTTTTATTGGGCTCAGACACTGCTTAAAGAAATTTTTTTTTTAATCCTGAGGATGTTTTTCATTGATTCTAGAGAGAGAGGAAGGGAGGGGGGATAGAGAAAAAGAAACATCGCTGTGAGAGAGACATCAATCAGTTGCTTCCTGGAGTGCCCTAACTGGGATTGAACCCGAGACCCTTTGGTGCATAGAACAATGCTCTAATCAACGAAGCCACACCAGCCAGGGCACAGTTGAAAGAAATTTAAGGATATATTTGACTTTCTGTTAGAAGGGCTGTAATGTCACTTTTTGTGGGGGATGTGGAACATCTTCTGTGTTTTTTTAATTGATTTTTGCGGGGGGGCGAGCAAGAGAAACATTGGTTTGTTGTTCCACTTATTTATGCATTCATTGGTTGATTCTTGTATGTGCCCTGGCCAGGGACCTTGGCCTATGGGGATGACGCTCCAACCACTTGAGCAGCCCGGCTGGGGTGTGGAACGTCTTGACAGTCTACTTGAAGGATAACTATGTAGAGCCTAGATGTTTTTATCTAGATTCTTTTAATTATATGTTTTTTAGGACAAGTAACGTTATAAGAACATTATGTTTTAATTAAGAAAAATGAGCCCAAATCCCATCACTTTTTGATCTTTTTCCTTCCGATCCTAGTGTGTGTACATGTATAAAGTGTAGACAGAAGTATTTATTGTTTTTGTAAGGTGGGGTGAGTAATTGACTTTGTTCTGATTGTTCTTTAGATATTAGTTGCTGCTTTGACATTCTTTCTTGGGAAAGATGAAGAGGAGAAACAGGACAGCGACTCAGAATCTGAGGTTAGTTGAACTGTAAATGCTTCTGAATTTTACAGCTTATGAGATTTCATTATTGCTCTCAGTACAAATGGTAAAATCCATGACTGCTTAAGTTAGAAAGAAACTTAGATGTTGCCTTTATCCTTTATTGAGTTCTGCCATACTGAGATTTTATTGTTTAGAATTTGTCACTTAAATTCAGGAAGATTGGTTAAGTAACTAATAAATCTTAGATTCATTCAGCCTTGTTCTTAATTCTAAAGCAATACCTACATCTCACTATATAAACTTAGAATGAAAATTGCTGCCAACATATTTTTGAGGTGAGTGTTGACATTGTAGAAGTTCAGAGTAATATCATAGCATTTTTAAAAGAAAAAAGCAGGATATATGATGTTATAAAATTTTCTTTATTAAAATTATTTTTATTAAAATTTAAAAGGAGAAAAAAATTTCCCTTATCATTTTAGCATTTTGATGATAATACTGGAATATGTGATAATATCTTGTACTTCATTTTGTTATTTTATTAAATAGTATATGAACAATACATTTTTATTGTAAAAAGTTTCAGATACTATAGATAAAATAGAATTTTTCTTGACCCGGTCTTATCTCCACTTCTCAGTTCCTTCTTCACAGATAACCATTTTGTTTCCCCTTGCAGTTATATATGTAGGTGTGTATATATTGTCTTATATGTGCAGTAGGTTTTTAAAATATGTGTAAATAACATATGTATTATTCTGCAACTTGCTTTCTTTGTGTCAATATATATAGATGTACCAATGCATTTAGATCTTATTCTGTTAGTACATGTAGATCTACCTTACGCTTTTTTAAAAATTGTTGACACTATTACATATGTCCCCCATTTCCCCTGCTTTGCCCACCTCCACTCAGCCCCCAGCCCCTCTTCCCTCTGGCCATCACCATAGGGTTGTCTATGTCTATGGGTTATGCATATATGGTCTTTGGCTAATCTCTTCACCTTCTTTCATTTAGTCCCCCAACTCCCCCTCTCCTCTGACCTCTGTCAGTCTGTTCTGTGTATTCATTCTTCTGGTTCTGTTTTGTTTGTTTCTACCTTATGCTTTCAGCCTCCACATGATGTTTCTGAATATGAATGCATTATAGTTTAAGCATTTTCCTGTTCATGGATAATTGTTTCCATTTTCTTTTTTAAAATAAAAACAAAGTTTCATTCTGTCAATATATTATACTTCAATAAAAATTAAAAGGGAAATACAAAGGTAAAAATCAAGGCTGCAGTGAAAATCTTTGTGCACATGGAAAATATTTTTTATTGAATTTTAGAAGTCAGGTTCATTTTTAATGGCTGTGTGTGAAGAGTGTAAGTACAAAGAAGGGGCTGAAAGGATTACTCTTTGCTTCTATGCAGATTTTCCTTATTTACAGTTTTATAAAGTAGTTTTTGGTTTTTTTAGGATGAAGGACCAACAGCAAGAGACCTGCTAGTGCAGTATGCCACAGGGAAGAAAAGCTCCAAAAATAAGAAAAAGTTGGAAAAGGCTATGAAAGTGCTCAAGGTGAGGCTTGTACCTGGGAATGAGGGCAGGAATCATTACAATGTAGAAAAGGTTTGTAGCAAAAATTTTTAAGAATTTGAAATAAAGAATCACATTTTTGAAAGACTTAGAAATATGTAATGAGTTTTTAAGCACTAATTTTTAGATGAATAAATGTTTTCAGCTCTAACAAAATCTGTGACTTGAATAAATTAATTATTTTTCACTTGTCCTGCTGAGATGACCTGTATTAGGGTACCTTTGGTAAGCATATCTTCTCAGAAGAGTACACGAATAAAGTACATTTTATATTTTGTAATGATTTTTCTGAAAATCACTGATTTGGCCCTTAAGTGGTTAATTTTTATATTGCTAAATTCCTTTAAGTCTTACAGGTACTAATAGGTGAATCTTAAAAGACAAAAACCATCTGTACTTCTAGTTGAAAGATTTTTTAGAACAAAGATTTTTTTTCTTTTTAAATAGTGTGGTGGACTTGATAACAGCTTTTAGCACATTAGCACATTTAACCCCACGGGCTTCATTTCTGTAATTCAGAAGGTAACTTTTTTTTCTCTCCCTTTCAGAAACAAAAGAAGAAGAAGAAACCAGAGGTGTTTAACTTTTCAGCTATTCACTTGATTCATGATCCCCAAGGTACTATAATTATGACTTCCCAAGTTCCTTGTTGGCCTAATCTGTGCCTATTTAGTTTCCTACCTTCAGAGTTGCCAGGGAATATAAGATGCCTGGCACTTAATAGAAAGTCAATAAATACTTGTTACTTGTTGGTTGTAGCCTAGAGAATTATGTTCTGAAGCAGTGATTCTTAGTCCACAGAAAAATAAGAAAAACGTGGAAGAACAGCTCTCTCTGAAATTTTTATCTTTAACAACATGATAATGGTAGGACATTGTGCTTGACCAAATGATATATTGACAGTCTTTTGTTGGTCCTTTTTTAAACAAACTGATCTGTGGAAATCAAAAGTTTGGGAAACCATGTTCTAGAACACCAGTTCTCAAACTGGAATGTAAATTGGGATCACGTAGAGAACTTACAAACTATACTGGTGCTTGGGTCCTGTTATCCCCAGAGACTGGTTAGTTGGTATTGGGAGTGGTTGAACATTAGGACTTTTAAATGCTCTGTGTACTCTAATGGACAGTAGTGTTTGCTGGCCCCTCCTCTAGGTGAGTGTTTCTCAAACTTTAAGGTAAGTATGAATCACCTGGAGATCCTGGTAAAATGTAGATTGATTCAGTAGGTCTGGGGTGGGGCCTGAGATTGTGTATTTGTAATAAGCTACCATGTAGATCACCTGCTGTTGGTCTGTGGACAATGTGTTGAGAAACTGAAGTTGAAGAACTGTTAAATGGAGCACCTATTCAACAGTCACTCAGCGTGTTGATGCTAAAAATCTTGGGCATCCTTAAGACTTAACCTTGGGCGCTTTTGAAGTTGTATTGACCTGTGTGTGACTTTTCACCTTCTGGTGTACTGCTGCTTTCTCCATCCTGCTGCAGCCGAGTGATTTCAGGCACAGCCGTGCCAGAGTCGCTGGTCTAACTATTGTCTTTCTCTGCGTCTGATAGATAGTGTTGTACAGACCACGGACTCACAGTGTACTTCTCTGATACTCTCTTTTCTAGATTTTGCAGAAAAACTGCTGAAGCAGCTAGAGAGCTCTAAGGAGAGGTTTGAAGTGAAGATGATGCTCATGAACCTCATTTCCAGATTGGTGGGAATTCATGAGGTTTGAATTACATTGTTTCTCTTGGTGGATATTAGAAAAAGAACTATTGTTTTTATTCTTCTCTAACTTGTATGGATTTAAATGTTTGGGTGGGGGAGGGATAAAATTAAGCCACTCTTCTGTAGTGGCTTTTCTTTTTATGGACAGACTGTTTTGTGCTCTCAGTATCAGACATTTCTCTATTATTATTCAACTTTGTTTCATATATACATTTTTCTGAGCCAACATAACCTACATATTTTTGACTATTACAACATTTTGCAGTTTGTTTATTTCTTCATAGCTTCTCTGACTTCCAGACCGCTCTAGTGGGAGATTGTCATGTTTGCAAAGCTGAATTCTGTGCTCATTTATTTTATATTAAATTAGATTGAAAGAGTTCCTTGGTAGTGTAATATATATATTGTGTATGGAAACTTCACACATACTCTTGAGCTAAATGCCATTATAGAAGAGATTCCCAAAAATTTAGGCCATGAAAAAATGACCATTGAGGTTCTTTCCTATCATTTTGCTTTTGTGACTAGTGTTGCTGTTCTGAAAATCATTGAATATGTTGCTTTCTTCAAAAATTTTAATTAAAAAAATAGAATAAGCTTGGTTTGTTTATTGAAAATCAAACAGTTTAGACATATATCAGCTTAAAAATGAAAGTACACATGAGTGAAAGCACTTATTTCCTTTCTCTAAGAAAAACAACATTTTAGTAAATAAATTGCTTTTTCTCCATGGTCTACAGACCTAAAACAGGATTATCAAGTCAATTCTTGGTAAATTGGTGAGGAAATTTATGTCCAACTTGAATTTGCACCTTATAAGAAAGCAAAAGTGATTTGTAATTTAAGCATGGTTTGATGGAAATGATACCAGGGTTTCACAACTGACTATAATTGAACCCAAGCCTTCCCTGTTACTTCTCTGGCCGTGGTTTTGCTCTGTGGCTAAAATAGAAAAAATTAATTTATTCTCACATGATAAACTTTGATAAAGACCAGTCCCTCTCCAAAGTTCCTCATCTGGAAGTTAAAAATTGCAATAGTTTAATAATTGGACCCATGTCACCTTGATTAGGGGACTCCAGAGTGGGAGTGTTTTTTCTCTAAAATAAAGCTCAGAGTAATTCCTCCAAGGTGGTTGGTCTGGTATCTAATAATAAAACCAGAATTGTGGTGTTTTTTGGGTGATCAGATTATACTAGATGCTATTCAGATTTGAACTTGGTGATATAATTGCATTTGGAAAAACAAACCTATAGCTTTAGTTACATAAATATTAAAGTCTGCATTTTCCCCCCACAGCTTTTTCTCTTCAACTTCTATCCCTTTGTGCAAAGGTTTTTGCAGCCCCACCAAAGAGGTAAGCCTCCCAATTGTCATATTCCTTTGGTGGCCTTGGGTTAAAATAACCATCCAGAATTTTTTGTTCTGGATTAGTAAAGACAAAGAGTTAGGAATGAAATGTGTTCTGTTTCAGAGAAAGGGGAGAAACCCTTATGTTTTCTTTCCAGAATCTTCCATGGATTAATTGTTCTGTTCATCAACTTTAAAAAACAATTATTGGGGTGTGGGGTGGGAGGTGGATGGAACAATAAATTGGTTTCTCAAAGCGAGTCTTTTTTTTACAATAGTCCTCCATTATATCTGCAATTTTGCTTTCCATGGTTTCAGTTACCTGAGGTCCAAAAGTATTCAAAGGTTCAGAAAATTCCAGAAATAAATAATTCATGAGTTTGAATTGCACACCATTCTGAGTAGCATCTTGTCCTGCTCTGTCCTACCTGAGACAAGACGTGAATCATCCCTTTTTTCACTACATCCACACTGTATATACTACCCACCCGTTAGTCACTTAGTAGCTCTCGGTTATCAGATTGACTGTCAGGGGTATCACAGTGTTTGTGTTCACCTAACCTTTATTTTACTTACTAATGGCCCAAAGCACAGGAGTAGTGATGCTCAAAAGTGCTGTAAAGTGCTTCCTTTAAGTGAAATTACTTCCTTTAAGTGGAAAAGTAAGTACAGTATAGTAAGATATTTTGAGAGAGACTACATTCACATAACTTTATTACAGTATATTGTTATAATTGTCCTATTTTATTATTAGTTATTGCTGTTAGTTTCTTACTGTGCCTAATTTATAAATTAAACTTTATCATGTGTATGTATATAGTTGGCCATTGAACTATGCGGGGGGTTAGGTGCAGTGACCCTTCTCGAAGTTGAAACTCCATGTATAACTGACTACACAAAAACCTAACTACTAATAACCTGTTGACCAGAAGACTTACCAATAACATAAACAGTTAACATGTATTTTGTAAGTTATATGTATTATATACTGTATTCTTACATAAATTATGCTAGAGAAAAGACAATATTATTAAGAAAAAGATTGACATCTCAGAGGGGAAGAGGGTGGGGAGGGAGGGAAGAGATCAACCAAAGAATATATATGCATATATGCATAGCCCATGGACACAGACAGTAATGTGGTGAAGGCCTAGGTGGGGCAGAGGCAGGGTGGAGGGAGGCAAAGCTGTGGGGGATGGGGGACATCTGCAAGAGTCAACAATTTAAAAAAAGAAAAGTATAAGGAAGGCAGAACAATAAACCAACTATGACCTTTCTGACCTCTTATATTTTTAGAAGTAACAAAGATCCTTCTGTTTGCTGCACAAGCGTCTCATCACTTAGTACCCCCAGAGGTGAGAACTCTTAAACCTTACTTCTGTCTAGATCTAGTGCGTGATGCATAACAGGGTTACTATTAACTTTATCATGTAGCTTTTCCCACAGGGATTACTGTCCCCCACCCATTTTTTAAGTGAGTAGAAATGACTCTTGAGATATACACAGAAGTTTAGTTAGAGAAACTGAAAAAAAATTTACCATTAAAAGTACACTTTATTTTGTGCAAACTGTTGAGATTCCTGATTTTAATTGCCAAATTTTATGATGGGAGGTCAAGAATATTAGTAAATTCGTAGAATTATTTTTCAAAGCTGATAATTCTGTTCTTTGATTAAAACAGTATTTTGATAGAATTATCCTGCGTCAAAGCAATTTCTTTAATCTGTATTGAAAACTAACATTAAAAAAGAGCAAAATTTAATCTGAAGTTAGCCAAGAAGGCTAAAACCCAAAGTGGAGTGTATTTATCTGTCTTCCTCAGTCTTAATTCCTTCCAACTCCCAAACTAAAGGTGGAACACTGTTTTCCTACTATGAATAATTTATTATTCTTCATCCTCAGATGTTTGAGTAAGTATAGGTATTTTACCAGCACTTTTTTTTTTTATTCCCAATTTAGATCATTCAATCATTGCTCATGACTGTGGCCAACAATTTTGTTACCGACAAGAACTCTGGGGAAGTCATGACAGTAGGGTATGTAGAATGTGGCTGGAGGCACTGGATATATTTTTAACCTACTAAGTTTGCTTTTCATGACCAGGATGTAAGATTTCAGCTGACAATGTGGCCTCTAGGAAGGCAGTTTAAAATATACTTTAGTCTTCTCAGAGGCTTGCTGTTTTTATTTTATTATTTTATTATTTTATTATTCTCTGGCTCCCTCCTCGAGGAGGGAGTCAGAGAAAAGATATTTGTCTTTCTAATCAACATTTTGTTTTTTACTAGCTTTACTCTTTCAAATGAATGATTGTTTGGCAATCTAAGCTTTTTTGTCCTGTTTCTACCCTGAATTCATATCTTCTTTTGGAACAAATGGTTTGTTGAGTCACTCTTTAATCCCTAGACAGTTCAGTGGCCCTTTTGATTCATTTAAAAATGCTTAATGAGTGTGAGCACTGGTTTAACAGTTATCTAATGTGTCCTGGTAACTAATCAGTATGTTAAGAGCTGTTTTTATGGAATTATTGCTGGGATAACAGTCCTAAAGACCTTTAGCTTTTCTTATTTGACCTAGTCCCTTCTCCCCTTAGAGTTGGCGCATAAATGCTGCCATTATTTACTTTACAAAGAAGATACTGTTTCTTATTCCGCTAGTAGGGGAAATGCCAGTAAGCTATCTGGAACAAAGCCCTCTAAGGCTGCCCACCCTCACATTCTCTCTCATGCTGCAGTTTTAGAGACCTAAGCTCTATAAAACCCAACTTTTATTCCTGTTTAGTCTTTTTAGAAAACCTTCTTAGTTGAACCATATGAAACTGCTGTTTGAGTTTTTAAAATTTATTTTCCCTTTTCTAGAATCAATGCTATAAAGGAGATAACAGCTCGATGTCCTTTAGCAATGACTGAAGAACTTCTCCAAGACTTGGCTCAGTATAAAACTCACAAAGATAAGAGTAAGTTGCATGTTAGTCTTTGTGGACCAGAGAATATAGAGTGATTTTTTATCTCAATAGACTGTTTGCTCTGGAGCTTGTAAATCAAAGGTATTATTTTACAGATGTAATGATGTCTGCTAGAACTTTGATTCAGCTTTTCCGTACCCTAAATCCTCAGATGTTACAGAAGAAATTCCGGGTAGGTGAAGCATGCATATATTACCTAAAGGTTATGGTCTCAGAAGGTGAGAGTATTGTCCTACAGTTAGAGTTTTAATATTTGCAATACTTACATTTTGAATATTGGAGATATGCATAGTTTTATTCTTTAAGCTCAGAATATAATTGATTGAATACCATCTCCTTAAATATTTTGTAGTTGACATATGCTCTTTGATGATGACTGAGTCTTATAGATCTGTCAGGCTGTTTCACCTTGAAAGCTTTTGACATCATTAACTGATTGGAATCCCAAAGATCAGCCAGTAGCTGAAGCCAGTATTGAACAGGCAATCAATTCCTGGCCAGATCCCACCTCTTGGGAGCTGGGAGGGAAGAGAGTTTTGCGTATGTGACAGAAAGAGAGAGGGCAACCTCAAGACTTAAGAATTGGAACAGCTATTCTCTAAGAACTTCCAGTTTCCTGATCTGGATCAGAAGAGAACAGGAAAATAGCGGGCATAGTTCTGGCTAGGGGTTTACTTTGACCCAGGGCATAAGTGGACTGTTTTTTGTCATTTGGTTACTTCATTTTTTGGATTCTCCCTTCTAGATTCATAATCCTATAGAATCCTTTTTATGAATAATGTTTTATTAAAAATAATTTCCTTTCCTTTAGGGTAAGCCTACAGAGGCCTCCATAGAAGCAAGAGTACAAGAATATGGAGAATTAGATGCTAAAGATTACATCCCGGGAGCAGAAATTCTGGAAGTTGAAGAAGAAGAGAATGCCGAAAACAACGAAGGTTCATTTTTATTTACCATTATTTGGATTGTAGTCACTCCTGTATCTGTATTGACCTTGAAATCTTTATGCTGTTGAACGTGGATTCAGCGGGTATTTATTGAGCAATGACTACATGCCAGGCACTGTTACAAGCGTTGGGGATCAAATGGGCATGGTTCCTGGTCTTTGGGAACTTACGTTCTAGTATAGCAGATGTCTTTTCATGTCCTTCAGGGTGGCTGCCCCTTATGAAGGGTATGCTGGTCACTTGGGAAAGATAAAGGTTTTTTGTTTGTTGCCTAAAAAAAAAAGATGAGGTATTAGTCCTTAGCAATTCTCCAAGATTTTCCTGTTGAAAAGGAATGCTTGTTGAATTTGTTGAAGAATGCTTGAGGAGCTCCATTCTGACTTCCAGGGTTAGCCTTTATTACATTGGTTGCTAAAGTCCTGTCTTCTTCTGGTTCATTTAGTTGTGATTTCAACAAAGCTTTCTTAAGCATTAGCTGTGGGCTTGCCACTGTCAACACAAAGATGAATGATATGGTTCCTGCCCTGAGGGCCTTTCATAAGCTGCTGAGAATAGAGTGTTAATAGGATTAATGATTGGAGTGGGGCATAAAGGCAGGCCTGCCTCAAAGGTTCAGAAAAGGCCTCAAGGAGATGGTGACTCGGGAGCTGTATTTTGAATTAAGCGAGGAATGGTAAAACAGTGGAGACTTTCCAGGCAAACTGTGAGCATAGTCCTGAAGGATTTGGAAAACTATTACAGTATAGAATACAAGGTAGAATATAACCAAATAGTAGACTAGAGACTGAGTTGGGGCCTTATTGTGACTGGTTGTGTATATGCCATACCAAAGGGCTGGGACACTATTACAGAACATGGGGAACCACTAAAATTGCAAGTATCTGATTTTGAAAGTTTACTGTGGTGGCTCCATTAAGAACTCTAATACTGCTTTATTGTGGTGTCTTGTTTGTTTTTTAATGTTTCTATGAATTTTTTAGAGGGGGGGAGGGAGAGAGAGAGAGAGACATCGGTGAGAGAGAAACATTGATTGGCTGCCTCCTGCACATCCCTTACTGGGGATGGAGCCTGAAACCCAGGCATGTGCTCTCTCTGGGAATTCAACCAACTACCTCTTTGTGCAGGGGACAGTGCCCAACCAACTGAGCCACACTAGCCAGGGCTACAAGGTTCTTTAACATCCTAAATCTTCCACCTCAGTTCTCAGAATGACTGTTTCTAACTAGTTTCTAAAAACATATATTAATATGCTTAGAAGAGTTAGATACTTGCTGTGTAGTGAAGATAACAGTACAGGTGCAGTTTTGATGTACATGGTTTGGTGGAAAGAACGTGGCCTCTAGAGTCAGACATGATTTTCAGGATTTCATTATAGGCTGCATTTTCTAACTGGCTTGGGATAGGTTACTAAACTCGAGAGTCTACCCCTTTTCTGTTGAGTCGTGAGGGTTAGGGAAAGTGTAAGATTTCAGCTCAGGGTAGATACTTTGTCAGTACATATTTCCCATTCTTTCAGTTAATTAATGGGGCTTATGTAACAATAACTATTGCTCAGTTCTTGGTTTGTAGAGCATCTATTTGAGGTTCATAACCTTTTCTTTCACTTATCTCCGTTTGCCATAAATACTCAACACAAAGTGGTAGACCGACAGTGTGCTCTCTTACACAGATGGGTGGGAAAGTGCCAGTCTCAGTGAGGAGACAGATGACGACGGTGAGTGGATTGACGTACACCACTCTTCTGATGAAGAACAGCAAGAAATCGTAAGTATCAAAATTTCCTTCTATCATTGCATCACTGTGATGTTTATTAAGACTTCATTTATGCTGAGCCTCGTGGGGAGACTATGCTCTGACCTGAGCTAGTAGCCGTGTAAGCCTTTATCATGTGCTCTCAAGTCCAGGAAGCTGGAGGGCATGCCTGCAGAGGAGCGGAAAGCCAAAGCTGCAGCTGTCAGCACCAGCCGAGTTTTAACTCAGGAGGACTTCCAGAAAATCCGCCTGGCCCAAATGAGGAAAGAACTCAGCGCTGCCCCTGGGAAAGCCGAAAAGAGGAAATATATCGAAATAGACAGTGATGAAGATTCCAGGTACAACAGCACCTACCCAAATCTTCAGTCAGCTCACCTGGTAATGAAACTAGTAAGGAGAGGATTTCCACCCTTATTTCATGTTACATTTTTTTCCTTTATCCCAGGGGCGAGTTACTTTCTCTTCGGGACATTGAACGCCTTCATAAAAAGCCAAAGTCTGACAAGGAGACAAGACTAGCAACTGCAATGGTGAGTGAGGCATACCATTTCCTATTTCTTTAAACAGAGAGCAAAGAAATGAAATAAGACCCAGATAGGCACAAAATGGTAGTATTTTATTTTAAAGTTTTAAATAAAGGTATACTAAACATAGAATAAAATGTACAGGTATGAGGTGTTCAGTGAGTTTAACAGCTAGATAGCCATGTAACCACCATCCAAAACATGTAGAGCACAGAAAGCACTGTTATATATTCATGGTATCAGGGACTTATCAGAGCTGTTAGAAAAGTAGGGGAATGTTTACAATCATTAATGGAAAGCCAGAGAGTTGGAGTCTGCCTCTGGCAACTACTGTGTGATTGCACCCTGCCTACATGTCCATCTTCACTTTCTGTGCCTTTGCTTGTTTTAGGCATCAGACCATACTGGCTCCACATCACCCTCTATATTCCATTTGTACTGAAACCTGTTTAGATAAGTTTAAAAACCCATGTTCTTTCTCCTCCACACCTTTGCATACACTATTATTCCTACTTCTTGAAATGCTCTACCCCTTTCTCTTCTTTCCCTCCACAGTGACTGCCTTCATCCTGTGAAAAACAGCTCACAGGTCTCTCTTTCTAGGAAGCTCCTCAGACCTCACCAGGCTGAATTATGACCTTTTCTCTCACTGAGCTCCCCTTGCCGCATTACAGTACATCTTGGTCCATTTCCTGTGGACTCGGTCACTGAGGAGCAAAGACTGTGTTCCATTCATTTTTGTCCTTGGCACCCAGTAGAGCACCTGGCACAGAGGAGACGTATATTGATTAGATAACTCCTGAAGTGTTTTTTTTGTGTGTGTGTGTGTGTGCTGATAGGCTGGAAAGACAGACCGAAAAGAATTTGTAAGGAAGAAAACCAAAATGAATCCATTTTCCAGTTCCACAAATAAAGAGAAGAAAAAACAGAAAAACTTTATGATGATGCGGTATAGTCATAATGTCCGCTCAAAAACTAAGCGTTCCTTCCGAGAAAAGCAGGTGAGTTCAACTTGAAGCTTGGTGTTGTCATTCTGAGACACCTTTACTTGTGAGTGGACTTGTGCCTCCTAAAGACCTTGCATTGTGTGTGTTTTAGGGTTAACGGGGAGCGTTATTGGAGAGGTGGGAAGTTGGGCATGTAAATCCTCAACCTCACTTGGTTGAGATTCATTTGTTTGACCAAAGGGGAGTCTGTTTTTCTCCTCTTCAAGTGAAAGGGTGCAGATCATTCCCTTGTTAAAATTCTCTGGCATTTATGTGAAATACAATATCAAAATTAACTAAGTAGGAATTTTTGAGTGCTTATTATATGTGTGGTAGTTTTTTAAAAGCAATAATTATGTGTGGTAATAGCTCAGAAATAGTTCTAGTGAAGCACACGAACTAAGTGGTCCTGTTGCTGGTATGTGCCCTTTTGCAAAGCCTTTATGTTTACAGGCTTATGGGATTTCATTTTATCCATTTTCAGTCTTTCATGGTTACTCTTGTACTGGGCTTGCTTATTTCAGTAATTCACTATAGTAAAACAACTTTACATGTTAATGTCTTTTTCTACTGGGGATATACTAGAGTGTAGGTAACTGTATTCTGAAGAATCTCCAGGGAATCCGGTCAAGGGTAAACTAGTCCCACCTTCTGACCAGTGTTCCAAAATGCTAGCCAAGGATGAGCCTTCTAGGCATGAATTAATGGCCAGCTCTCCAGGGCAGTGCTCTGTCTGTGTGGGAACCAACCCAGTATTAACTGAATTAAGGTGCCATTTAAAGTCTACTGTTTAATTTTTCTAGTTCTAAACTGTGGTTAACAACATTATGTAAATATAAAGTGACAGCATTTTGAATAGAAGTTGTTAAAATTTAAGTAAAAGGAGAAGTGCCATTTAATATTAAAATTTCCCAATTCAATTTAAATTCATAGTTGAAATTATTAATTCCATTAGTTTATCCTTCACTAGCCCTTTGTAAGAGCTTAGGGTTGAGGAAATAGTAATAGTTGATAGGCCTTGCTGCATTATGAGTTTTCGTGACCTTGCTACATTTTAGCTACTTCCTCTGTTTTTTTAGCATGCCTTTTTTGGCATGAAAGAGAAGCGTGGCTTTGTTCCCTCTCAGCATGTTAATTTAATCAGCATACAGCAATATGAGCAGGTACTGTGATTAAACTGGTTTTTTAGATGAGAAAATAAGTCAAAGATAGAGGAGTCTGAGAAGTATTTTCTTAGCAATGCAAATTAGGTTAAAATGAACTTGTTGATTTTTCTACCTTAAGTGTGCTAGCTATTCTGATTATCTAACAAAGAAATACCAAAACCCAGATATGAGCTAAAGGCAAAGGGCCAAATAACTTAAAATCATAAAATTTAAAAACTTTTTGAACATTTAGATATAGAGCCAGGCAGCTTCCACCCTCCAACCCCCCCCCAAATGAACACATATCTTATTAAAATTCAAAAGCTACAGATCTTTAAAAGTTTCTAGGAATCCAAGAATGGTGCTTGGGAATTAATGACATAGTATTCATCACACACTTAAGATGTGTACATTGACCTTGGTTATCTTTTTTTAACTTTGGGTTTATTATTAATGCTCCATCTCTATTCTGTACCTGCTCCTGTTTTGAGCTTTTGCCCCATAAGGTGGGAAAAGCATTCAAGAGTTTGGCCTGTTTCCTATCAGTAAGGAGGTGATAGCCTGGTTACAGCTCTGATGTATTATGGAGTATTTCGCAACTTGTAGTTTTTGAGGATGACTTACTGACTTAGTGATTCCATTTTGGTACACTTTCATACAACCACGTTAGTGTAATTGGGTACCCAAGAGTTACCATGTTCAGTTGTTTTTTTCTTACCTTCCAGTTGGCACTACGAGATGCACTTTTGAAAAAGAGAAAAAGAATGAAGTAACCTGTACAAGCAAGTTTTCCGTTCCAAGGAGAATGCTAAATTTGTGTCGTTACTCTGAAAATTAATAAATCAAGAATGTTTACATTAAAAAGTCCAGAAACACTATACTGTGAAAACCAAAGTAAATTTGGTAGCAATTCGGTGTTTTTATTTTGGAGATGGATAATAGTGGGGATGTTTGAAACATAAACAGTAGTGTTGTAAATTCATTGTCATTTAGCATTCACGTGAAGAATAAATTTTTGAGTGCCTATGATCACTATCGATGTAAAAACGACCATAGTCCCTTATTGAAGGCATTCACAGCCTATTTGGAGGATGTGGGGGACAGAGGTGTGTATATGTGTATTTACAGTGCAGTGTAAATAGTTCTGTACTAGAGATAGGTCTGTATTTCTGTGGGGTCGGGAGTTACATATTCTCTTAAAACGAAACAGGACAGTGTTACAAGAGTAAGAGGTTCTTACTTGTAAATAGGCTTACCTGCTGAAAACAGGTCCTTGCTGTACAGATTTTGGGTAGACAATCTAGCTCTTTTAGTCCATCCAAAAGATTTAAATATTTCTTGAATGCCAGGTAAAAGCCTCGCTTTTTATACTGCCTTAAGTATAAGTGGTAATCTTGGAGTGTCTTTATCATTAGGCTGCTCACTCTTCCATTGAGAAAAAAGAAGTCAAATTGGTTTCCTTGGGCTTTTTTCACCCTTAATATTTTCACCTTGTGTCCATAAAAAGGTTTCTAGTATCAAATAGGTACTCATATGCTTGAGCCGCTGTGTTGGTCTCCCTTCCCTAGGTAGGCTTGAGTCGATTTCAGGTGACACGAAAACATGGTCTGTCTCTGTTTGCAAGTTGTTAAATTTGGAAAGTTTGGTGCCTTCTACCTCAGATTTCTTAGATAATATTGTGGTAGATTAGAAAAATACTCTATATTACTTTAAAGTAAAAAGCAATTTTTTGCCCACTCTGAATTAGCAGCTTCTAAAACCACTTTTCTTATTCCCTTTCCTTTATCTTCTGTCCACTTTCTAGTTCAGTTTCAGTTTTATTTTGAATGATACTGTGTGACTTTCCCCCAAATGCTGCGGATTAGTTGTGAAGATCTTGAGGATTAATGATTAAATTGCAGTGGCCTAGTGAGGGGAGCCCTTGGAGTCAACCTCAGCAACTTCAGTGTTCCACAGAAAGTGTCTGATGCAAATTTGAATGGTTCAGACTGGAAACTACTCTCTTTTCTTTTTGCATTTTTGAACTTAGTGTCTCATGTGTTTAGCTCCAGAGAGGGGTAAATAAAATCAAGGTGGCATAGCAGCTGGGGTTCACAGCTTTGCTGCATGAATTGTGATGGTGCCTGAAAATTGTGTTCCTTCCGCTACACTTTCCCGTCCACTTAGGTGCCAAGAGACCAAAGTCCAGTCTGTGTTCTGACTTGTCTTCTACTGTGGCTTTACTCTGCTCTTAACTGAAATTTATATGCAAGGTAGAAAACTAGCTGGCTTACAAAGGTGCAGTCTGAACTCTTTCATTTCTTTAATCCCATAGTATCTTATCTCTATATGGTTCCTTTTATTATTTCTTAAGTCTCTTGAGAATATTTTCTGTTTACTATAAATTTGAAAATCAAGTTCTCACACGGTTGGATGCTGCCAGCAAAGGCAAAGTGGCCTTTTAGGGTGACTTTTACCTTGAAGAAGCCACCAGAGCCTCAGTTTCAGCTTTCAGCCCCAAATTTTTGTCAGCACTGAGAATGGATCCATTTCTGGGATGAACTCACATTGTTTAAGTTCATATGTATATAAAGTGATATATAAATCTGGAATGCTGATGTATTTTGGATGTGACCTTAGCAAGTTCCATTGGAAAATAAGCTCCACAAAAGGCAGAGTCTGTTCCCTGCTCTATCCCCAGGCTCAGCAAATATTTGAAACATGACCTACCTCACTGATTGTTTTGAGATTCTGAGAACTAATATTTATTTATAAAAACTTAGCGTGGTATTTGCCACAAAGTAAGCATTCAGTAAATTTCTCATCAAAGGTTAGATATCAATTAAGTTTTTATTTTACCTTTTGCTTAATTTACTTTGACAATTTGGGGAGAACTAGTTTGAAATACAAAAATGTATATTGAATGCTCACTATATGCAAAGCACTCTGCTACATGCTGTGTGGGTTGCAAACACAATGTTTGTGCCATATAGAACCTTTGAATCCAGCAAAGGAAATAGACTTAAGAAATGACTATATAATACAAGGGCACTTACAGAGCTGTCAAAAAAGGCACAGCCTGGGGCAGGGGCATCCTGATGAAGGGGCAGTTCAGCTGGCAGGAGGGTGAAATGCCTGTTTGCTGACAAACTGATGCTTAGGATGAACAGGGCAGCAGTAGGAAATGTAGTCCTGAATCATAAAAGAAAAAGTTAGGGTTTAAAAGTTGGTATAGTCTTGTAACATAGAAACCCACACCTGAAACCTGTATGTTCATATTAACCATTGTCACCTCAATAAATTTAATAAAATAAAAAAAAGTTGGTACAACTTTTTAAAGATTATGGTTAATATAAATTTTGTTTTCATTGCTTCATATTCTAATTTTTTGAAAATGTATAATCTATGTAGAGTGTTATATGGCAGCTCTGTATTAACCAGATGTTAAATCAGTTGGAATACTCTGTTCTTCAAACTACATTAAAACTGGTTTTAAAACTATTTAAACAATTTTTAAAACTGTTCTACTAAATGACATTCTTTCATTGTATAAAAATAAAAATAACTATGGCTTACATATTTTTAGAATATATTATGAGATTTTTAGAAGATACTGAGTATGAATAGGAAGGTAAGTTAACTGACATGGATCTTTTTGTCTTTTATAAGGAAATAACCTTTTTTTTCTTAGTACAGTTTTTGGTCTGTACATGTTTAAAATTAAGAACAGAAAGTACAGTTATTCTGTACTTTTTAAATGCCAGGCACTCCTTGTGTAATAATTTTATTTCCTCTTGCAAATTCTGCTTTCATTGTTTTGTCATTTTGATCTCTATTGAAATGCTTAACTAGGGTTTATCCACATGGTGGGATATTATGTAGACATTAAAATATTTCCAATAGGAAATGCTTATAAATGAAAAGAACAAAATATAAAGTATTTATAGTACAATCCAATTACACATGAGAAAATAGGGAATAATAAAAGTCAAAAAAATATGCCAAATATTAAACATGGTTTTCTTTGGTGTTGGAATCATGTGAGGGTTTTTTTCTTTATGCTTTACGTGTTTTTATGTATGTCATTGTGTAAGAAACAACCTTATTTGAGGCCAGAGAATAAAGGTGCCTTAAGACTCACTCTTGTGAATTATTTTTTAATCTGAGGGGAATGCACTTAAACCAAGGCAAGGATTAATGTGCAGATGCACCAGAGTGGTCTCACCTCTTAACCACTCTCTTCCACTTGTTTACTGACAGGGTGCTAGATGGGACCCTCTTCCCCTACCCTGCAACCCCTGATGTTAGTGAAAGTGCTATGCTAATATAATTCTTAGGGAAAATAATTTGTAGTATGTGCCAAGAACCTCAAAAAAAGTCATAACCTTTGACTCAAACCCACGTCTGAGAATCTTGTCAAAGAAAATGATCCAGAATATGGCAAGAGATGTGTTTGGGGCTGTTCAGCTGCAAATAACTGAATATGCATCTAAAAATAGTGTAACCAAATTGAAGCCTCACGTGAGAAGTCTGGAGGTAGACCATTGCTGGTCTGAGCTCAGTCATGCCCTCAGGATCTTGGGCTCTGCTTTGTTGAAGCCAGACTCTGGATTCAAATGCTGACTGACCATGGGCAAGTTACTCAACATTTCTGTGCCACGGTCTCCTTATCTGTAAAAATGGAACAAGTATCAAGAAAGAAAAAAAAAATGGAGATACCTTGGTTTTCGAACATCTCTGTTGTCAAACATTTTTTTTTACGAGCGCTGTAAACCCGGAAGGAAATGCTTCGGTTTTGTAACACGCCTTGGAAGTTGAACACGCCACAAGGCTTCCGCTGAGGACAAGATCCTGAGGCTGAGCTGTCAGCTGTTGATCCCTCGGTTTTCCAATGTGTCAGAACTCAAACGGTCTTCCAGAACAGATTACATTCAAAAACCGAGGTACCACTGTAATGATAATACCTTTACCTTCATAGATATTTCTTTTGTGTTTAAGGCAACAAGAAGGGGCATTGCCACATCTATTCATTTTATTAGGAAAGCAAAAGCTTTCACAATATCCCTGCACGAGCCTTCCCTTCTGGTCACATTAGCCAGAACTGGGTTACATGGCTACCCTACCAACAAGGGAAGCCTAGAAAGCAAGAAATAGGATTTTTTGGCCTCTCAGCTTTTGCTGTGCCCATAGATTTTTAGTTGTTGTGTTCTCATTTTCATTTGTTTCAAGGTATCTTTCAGTTTCTTCCTTGATCTCATTGTTGACCCATTCATTGTTTAATAACATGTTATTTAATCTCCATGTCTTTGTTTGTTTTTCAGGGTTTTGTTTTTGTTTTTTATGATTGATTTCTAATTTCATACCATTATGGTCAGAGAAGATGCTTGATACAATTTCAATTTTAAATTTATTGAGACTTATTTTGTCCTAACATGTGGTCTATCCTAGAAATTGTTCTATGTGCACTTGAAAATGTACATTCTGCTGCTTTGGGATGAAATCCATCTGATCTAGTTTGTCTGGAAGATCTATCCATTGATATCAATGAAGTATTAAAATCCCCCACTATGAAGGCATTACTGTCGATATCTCCCTTTATGTCCATCAAGATATGCTTTTCATATTTAGTTGCTCTTATGTTGAGTGCATAAATGTTTACAAAGGTTATATTCCCTTGTTGGATTGCTCCCTTTATCATTATGTAGTGTCCTTCTTTGTCTCTTGTGATAGCCTTTCTTGTAAAGTCTGTTTTGTCAGCTATAAGTATTTCTACCCCAGCTTTTTCCCCTTTCTATTTGCATGAAATATCTTTTCCCATCCCTTTACTTTTAGTCTATGTATCTTTTGTTCTGTGGTGGGTCTCTTGTAGGCAGCATACAGGGGTCGTTTTCTTATCCATTCAGCTGCCCTAAGTCTTTTG